CAGGTGCGCTTCTCAGTGCTCACTGCTCAAGTGTACCAGAGGAGGGAGTAGCGGTGGCCCTTAGTCGTCAGCCAATAAAGGCAAAGGGCGGGGTTGCGCGGAGCTTGGGCTGCTGTCAGGCCAATCATGCTGTTCTCTGTCTCCCTCTGCAGGCCACCAAGAGAACAACAATTTCTGCTCAGTCAACATTAACATTGGTCCTGGTGACTGCGAATGGTTCGCAGTGCACGAGCACTACTGGGAGACCATAAGCGCCTTCTGTGACCGGTGTGCACTGCCCCCTCTCTAGTCACCCTACTGCTTTCCGTTTTTGGGTCCCTAAGGACCTGACCCTTTGTCTGCCCACATTGCAGGCATGGCGTGGACTACTTGACGGGTTCCTGGTGGCCAATTCTGGATGACCTCTACGCTTCCAATATCCCTGTGTACCGCTTTGTGCAGCGCCCTGGAGACCTTGTGTGGATTAATGCAGGGACTGTGCACTGGGTGCAGGCCACCGGCTGGTGCAACAACATTGCCTGGAATGTGGGGCCCCTCACCGGTGAGAGGGTGGGGCCCGTGGAGTGTGAGCTCTGTTGGGAAGGAGTGGGCATGGAGGGTGGCCCATCTGCTAGGGAAGGGGCTCAGGCCTAGATGGCTGGGGGCTGTTTGAGAATATGTGGTGACTCCCTCTGACCTGCAGCCTATCAGTACCAGCTGGCCCTGGAACGATATGAGTGGAACGAGGTGAAGAACGTCAAATCCATTGTGCCCATGATTCATGTGTCCTGGAATGTGGCGCGCACTGTCAAAATCAGCGACCCCGACTTGTTCAAGATGATCAAGTGAGGGCCCTGTTTGGGGTGGGAGCCCACCTCCACCTGATCTAGTCCCTGACTTTGTTCTTGGTATCTGACGTTACTCTACTCTTTATCTGTTTCTCTGTCCATGCCTACCATGTGCCTACAGTGTTACTGTGTTGGGGAGACTGGCAAAGTTCCTGGTCTCAGGACTTTCATTTTCTAAGTAGATAAAACAGGCAAAACTATTTGAAATTTCTTTCTTTCTTTCTTTTCTTTCTTCTTTTCTTTTTGTGGAGCTGGGGATTGAGGCCCTGGTCAGGTCAGGTTAGGCAAACATTCTACCACTGAGGTACATCCCCTGGCCTTTGAAATTTAAACTGACAGATGCTTAGGACAGGGGAGGTGACCCAGCCATGGAGAGGGAAGACTCCCCACGAGAAGTCTATGGGGCTGTCTGAGCTCTTAACCCATCTGCCCCTGCTGCAGCCTGGCCTCAACATTTCCTCCTGGCCCCTCCCAAGGTTCTGTCTCCTGCAATCCATGAAGCACTGCCAGGTGCAACGTGAGAGCCTGGTGCGAGCAGGGAAGAAGATAGCTTACCAGGGCCGAGTCAAGGACGAGCCCGCCTACTACTGCAACGAGTGTGATGTGAGTGAAGTGTTCTTCCTCTCATTTGCCCGGAGGAGGTGTCCACTGTGGCCAGCCCTCTTTGTGACTGCCAGTTTGTCCCGACCAGGTGGAGGTATTCAACATCCTGTTCGTGACGAGTGAGAACGGCAGCCGAAACACGTACCTGGTGCACTGCGAGGGCTGTGCGCGCCGCCGCAGCGCGGGCCTACAGGGCGTCGTGGTGCTGGAGCAGTACCGCACTGAGGAGCTGGCTCAGGCCTACGACGCCTTCACGCTGGTGAGCGCGGGCGCGGATGAGGGGCTGAGGAGGAGACTTAGGCGGGTGGCCTGGGGACCCGCTCAGCGTCAACCGCTGAGCCCCCGCCCGCTTTTCTCTCCGCAGGCCCCCGCCAGCTCGTCGCGATGAAGCCGGATGCCCCGCTCGCCCGCCCGCCCCTCTGTAGGGCGCCGCGGGGCCACCAGCACATGCCTGGGCTGGACCTAGGTCCCGCCTTTGGCCGGGAAGGGGGTTGGGCCCAGCCCTTCCACCCTATTGGCAGCTCCCCTCACTTAATTTATTAAGAAAAAAAAATTTTTTTAAACAAATATGAGGAAAAAAAGGAAAAAAAAAATGGGAGACGGGGGAGGGGGCTGGCAGCCCCTTGTCCACCAGCGCCTCCCCTCACCGACTTTGGCCTTTCTAGCAGACACAAGGACCAGGCTCCGGCGGCGGCGGCGGGGGTCACATACGGGTTCCCTCACGCCTGCCAGTCGCCCGCCCGCCCGCTGATGCACGGGGCTCGTGTATGTACATAAACGTTAAGGCAGCCGAGGTTTTTAATGAGATTCTTTCTATGGGCTTTACCCCTCCCCCAGAACCTCCTTTTTTTTTTTTTTTTTTTTTTTTTTTTTTTTTTTTTTACTTCCAATGCTAGCTGTGACCCCCTGTACATGTCTGTTTATTCACTTGGTTATGATTTGTATTTTTTGTTTGTTTTTGGTTTTTAATTTATAACAGTCCCACTCACCTCTATTTATTCATTTTTGGGAAAACCCAACCTCCCGCTATCCCCAAGCCATCCCACCCGCCCCTCCGGGGACTGCCCGCCCCTGGGCTCTCCCCCCACCCCAATGTGTGTCCTCCGGGCTCGGCCCATCGGTCTCCGCCCGCCCGTCCGTCCGTGGCTCCAGCCGGGCTCTCATGGTGCTCAAACCAGCTCCCCTCCCCTACGTCCTGCACTTTCTCGGACCAGTCCCCCACTCCCGACCTGACCCCAACCCCGCCTGAGGGTGAGCGACTCCTGTACTGTAGGGGAAGAAGTGGGAACTGAAATGGTATTTTGTAAAAAAATAAATAAATAAATAAAAAATTTAAAAGTTTTAAAGAAAGAACTATGAGGAAAAGGAACCCCGTCCTCCCCAGCCCCGGCCAATTTTTAAAACAAGACCTTCACCTTCACCCCTCTTTTCTTTTTAAGTGTGAAACAGCCCAAGCCCAGGACCTCACTGGGGCTGGGACACCCCAGGACGAGCTTCTCTGGGGCTCTGCTTTTGTTTTGTTTTTTTTTTCCCTCCCCGCTGGGGCTGTGGTGGGGTGGGGGGTTTACAGTCCCGCCCCCTCGCACTGCACTGTCTCTCTGCCCCTGGGGCAGAGGGGTCTTCCCAACCCTATTCCTATTTTCGGTGATTTTTTTGTGTGAGATTATTAATATTAAAAATAAAAGAAGAAAGAAAATCCTGTTTTGATAACGTGCTGGTGATAGCAGGGGAGAGTACTGGGAGGAGGGCCGCAAGAAAGTGATTGATGGGGAGGAACTGCACAGGCCTTGACAAGGGCGAACCCCTCCCGGAGGCGCCTGTGGAATGTCCAGAGCTCTGGACCGCTCCTTGGGATGGGGGTGCCTAATCCTAGAGCCGCATTCCAGGATAAGGGGGGGTGGGGTGGGAAGAGGATGGGTCGGGGGAGGGGCAGGAAAGAGGGCTATAAGGGCCGCGGTCCAGGCTGGCGAGAGCCAGCCAGGCCATGGCGGATGTCCCCGGGGCCCAGCGACCGGTTCTCGGCGGCAGCCCAGAGCCCCGCGATCCCCTGGACTGCTGGGCCTGCGCTGTGCTGGTAACTGCTCAGAACCTAATGGTGGCTGCCTTCAATCTACTCCTGCTGGCGCTGGTGCTGGGGACCATCTTGCTACCCGCTGTCACCATGCTAGGCTTCGGCTTCCTCTGCCATTCCCAGGTAAGCGTGCACCCCAGTGTGTGTGTGTGTGTGTGTGTCCGCGCGTGTGGCACGGTCCAGTGTGGTGATGCTGGCGGCGGGGTCTATGGGCTACAACTTCTCCCCTCCACCCCGTGGGCTGGGCTGTTCCCACTCTGGGCACCATGTGGCTCAGGTCGACCTGGGCCTGACGCCTCTTCTCCTCCCAGTTCCTGCGCTCTCAGGCACCCCCTTGCACCGCGCACCTACGGGACCCGGGCTTCACCGCCCTGCTGGTCACCGGATTCCTACTCCTCGTTCCGCTGCTCGTGCTTGCCCTGGCCAGCTACCGCCGCCTCTGTCTACGCCTCCGCCTGGCCGACTGTCTCGTGCCTTACAGCCGGGCCCTCTATCGGCGCCGGCGGGCCCCGCAGCCGCGGCAAACCCGGGGCTCACCAGGGTGCCAAGCCGTTCCTACGCCGGGAAAGGTTTGGGTCTGAGGAGCCTCGAGTCAAGAACACTAGTGCCGTCCTCCGTTCCTGTGGGACCCAAGGACTCGAAGCCAGGATCTTCTGCCCTACCCCCACCCCTACCTGAGCCGGGTTCTAGCATCCATTTGGGGGACAGCAACATTTTTGGACCCCAGTGCTGGCGAAAACTCCCACGCCCCGGAAAAACTGCTTTCCTATGACTACCCACATTTGAATCGTGAATATCTGGGCTGGACCCTGCACACCCTCCTTCCCACTCCCTTAACGTGATCAGGACAACTGAACCTGTGCCATCCTTTTCAGCTTCAGCTCCTCTAGAATTTTACAGGGCTGAGGGGCGATGCTGGAGGTGAAGAAAAACACATCAATAAAGAATTTATTAACAGGAGTGTGCTGTGAGCCGAGGGGCGCCCAGGAGCAGGAAACGAGTTCCTGAGATTACAAATACTCAGGCGGGAAGCATCCTTCAGCCTCCTGGCATTTCCTTATTGTATTTGTCCATTCTTCCCGGTTAGACCCCAGAGTTCTGTCCCTGACCCCAAAGTCACCTCCACATCAATAGCAGAGGGGGTCTTGTTTCACCCCCGCCTACCCGGTTCCCCTTGGGGATCGAGCCCGTTCTCTGACCCCAACATAGAGGAACTCAGTGTTGCCAGGCCGGGGCGGGAAACAATGGGCCTTCCGGAGCAGGATGACACCCCTTCCCGCCACAATTCTGGAGCAGGAGCGTGGGAGGGAAGATGCTAGGGTCCACCCCAGGTTCTGTTGGTCTACAGCCTGTTCCCCATCCCCAACCTCGAACTGAAGGGAAATTCTGGCACCCCTGGGCATAAGGTTGGGGGAGGATTGAAAATGCTCTTGGCCTCAGATAAACCCCCGTTTCTAGGGGTTGGGTGTATTATCGAAGCTACACACAGACACAGCGCACATCAGTCATAAATTTAATGAGGTTTGAAAGACATGCCTAATTATGGTCAGAGATACGGAGGCCCTGCAAGGCTCTCCCTTTGCACCTCAATAGAAACGATGTGGTGTCCCGGTACCATGGCCAGGCCTAGCACACGGGGTTCCCCGGCAGAGAAGGAATCTGGAAAGAAGGGTCAGAGCATCAGGGAGGCAGGCCAAAGTCGGTCCCGCCCCTTCTGAGCCACGAAAACACGCCCCACAAAACAAGGAGTGCTGTCAGACCCTGAGGGAAAATGCCTTGCGTGAACTTCCGCCACATTCCCAAGCGGGTGTGCATCCCCTGGGCACTGACCCGATGGCTTGAGGAACTCCTGCGCCGAACCCAGGATGACATTGCAGTCGCGGTCGGTACAGAGGAAGCAGCCGACCAGTGTCCGTCCATCTGTCATTCGAATGCGCATAGTCTTGTTGAGCAGCGCCTCTAATTGCTGCCGGGCACGCGCAGCCGGCGAGTCCTCGCGCTCCCCATCGGAGTCCTGCTCCAGGCGGAATACACTCAGACCTTGCAGTCTCTGCAGCCCGCCTGTCTGCGAAACCACAGCTCCCGGCAACCCACCGGGCACTCAGAAGCCCAGAGGCTGCCGGGAGCTGCAGTTCCCCCCCCTCGTCACCCCCATCTTGCTGCCCGACTGCCCCTCAATCCCAGAACCCGAGCCCGCGCTAACCCCGGCGCTGGAACTGCTTTGTCGCCGGCTGCAACATCCATTCTCCTCTCGTAGTAGCATGGTCGGCCCAGCTCCAGCCATTTGCCCCGCGGGCCCCTCTGGGCCCTTAAACTTCCTAAAAACCTTTCGGGTCCGGTGGTCTGAGATCTCGCGAGCGCTCCCGACGTCTTTCCTTTCGCGAGATCACCACTCCTCCTCCTCCTCCTCGTCTCCCGGCAACTGCAGAAATCTCGCGAGCTTCTCCTATTCCATGGCAGTGGTTCACCGAGACCTATTACGCCGGATGTCTTAAAATATCGCGAGAAATTTACCTGTATTTTCTTACACATCTTTTAGAAACCCAGAAATTTAGCGAGAATACCTTCTTCCATCCTGCTTCCTCACCTTGTTTTTCTGCCTTAAGATAGTTCTTCCTGAATATCCCGTGTAGCCCAGACCTCTGGATTAAAACGGAATGTGTTCGCTTTTCCCTGGAACTCAAATTATTCAATGTTTATGTGACCTATGTCGGAATCAGACTACGTTTCCCGTGAGCTCGCACAGACCAAGCCCTTCCTCGCCCTCACAGTGTTTAATCTCAGTGGCCGGTGGCCGGGAAAGGACAATGGTTTCCATGTGAGCGGGTAAACGCGCTCACCTTAGCTCCTGGACGCGGAGAATGTGTGTGTGCTCTGAGGAGCGAGGAAGCAGGCAAGGGACCCAGTGCCCGATAGAGCAAGAGCCATGCCGCGCCGGGGCCTAGTGGCTGGGCCAGAGTTTGAGGGCTTCCAGCGTCGCTTTTTCACGCCGGAAGAAGTGGCCAGACATAACCAGCCCGAAGACCTTTGGGTGTCTTACTTGGGATACGTGTACGACCTAACGCCATTGGCTCAGGAATACAAGGGTAAGGGACACAGGTTGGACCAGGACTGGGGTGTGTGTGGTGGTGGAGGTAGGCGGGGCTGGTTCTTGGGTAGCCAGCGTTGACAACAGCTCCTCCTTCCCAGGGAACCTGCTGCTGAAACCCATCGTGGAAGTTGCAGGCCAGGACATCAGCCACTGGTTTGATCCAAACACTGGAGACGTAAGTTCTGTTGGAACATGGGGTTTGGTAGGGGAAGCGATGATAGGGAGGAAAAGCGGGAAATAGCTGAATCTGAAATAGTAACGGCTAGGATCCGCGCCCAGCCTCACCCCAAACTCAACCCCTTCTTTAAAGATCCGCAAGCACATAGATCCCCTGACTGGTTGCCTGAGGTACCGCACCCCGCGGGGCCGTTTCGTGCACGTCCCACCTCAGCTGCCCCGATCGGACTGGGCCAATGATTTTGGGAATCCCTGGTGGAAAGGGTCGCAGTACAAGGTGGGGAAGCTGTCTGCCAAGACCCGGAATATTCGCATCATTAACACTCTCACGTCGCAGCAGCACATACTGGAGGTGAGATCTGGTGCCTGGGGACAGGTTAGAGAAGGAACTGATGCTTTCAGGAGATCTCCAAAGAGATCTTCAGGCCATCAGTTTGCCATAACTGGGTGAGAGCTGAATTTTCTTTTAAATTGAGGTGACTGAGGAAAGCAGACCACGTAGGTCTCCAGGGTTGGGAATTCTAGGAGTGTCTGGGTTACAGGGTACAAGACATTCCTTCATAAGTCCAGGGCAGCATCTTAGTAATGGTTGTCCTTGGAAGCTCTTACAGGCTGTTTTGGACAGTTTTGGACTCTTAAGACTATTCTATGCCAAGGACGAAGTGAGAGGACACTAGCTTTGACCCTTTGGGGCCATTTGTTTGTTAGAAGTGGCTTGCCATAAAGATGACAGGATTTTGGCACCCTTCATTGCATGCTGAAACTTCCAACTTTATTTCTGGGACTGTGGAGTGCCTGAAGCTACTATCTGCCAAAGGAGGCATTCTGATCCTAGCTCTGTATATCTTGGGCTCCTGGCCTTTGCTGTGTGTGTGTGTACATGAGCATATGTTCCATCCAGAATTCTAGAGGTGGGTGCTTCCATGTTCTCCAGGTGGGGGCTCTGGAGTCAATGTGGGAAATCCTACACCGCTATCTTCCCTATAATGCACATGCTGCCAGCTACACGTGGAAATATGAAGGGAAGACCCTGAACATGGATCATACCCTTGAAGAGAATGGGATCCAGGATGAGGAGGAAGAATTTGACTATCTCAAAATGGATGGTACACACTACATACCTGCAATACTGCTCTACTTCAGTGATGACCTCACAGAGCTATAGGAAAGGAGATGTGTGCTTGTCTGGATTAAGCCATAATTTGAGTTTGCCTTTTTCTGTTCTTGAGGAAAAGAGGTGAGGGTGTGGGGTGCTTGGATTCAGACCTCCTTTCCCCTTTGGGATCTGGACTGTAGTTCTCGTGACCTTCTGAAGTATGAATCTTATTCTCCAGTTCCCTTCTGATTTGCTCTGCGAAAATTAGGGAGAACGCTAGAAGTGAATTAGTCTTTAGGGATGACACAAGAAGGCACAGTATCTTGGATAGGGAGTTGTAGGGGCGAAAGAGGTAAATGGAGCTCAGGTAGAAGGTGATAGTAAGAGAAAGAAATCCTACACAAGGATGAGGGGTGGAAGAACATTTTCGGCAATGGCAGAAATGAGATGGCTGTAGAAAGATGGGATCTACAAAGATAGGAGTAGGAAATGACTATCATTGACCATAAAACCTGGCTAATCTCTTTTTTAAATTTTTCTTTCCATATTTTCTATTGGTGCATTGTAGTTGTACATGATAATGATTTGTTGTTACATACATGCACACAATATAACAATGTAATTAGGCTATTATCATTCCCTAGCACTTACCCACTTCCTCCCCCCCTTATTGTCTTTTTAGAAAAGTATTTAGTAGCTGAAACCCAAGGGAAAGAAAGGAAATAAATGGTCATCAGATAATCCAGTCAAGATATTATAATGGGTACTTTATTCACCCTCTTTATTACAACTACCCCATAAATGAATACTATTAACACTATTTCCCAGATAAGTCTTTTGAAACTTAGAAGTGTTCATTAGCAAAGAGATATTAGTTACCATTAGAGTCAGGATGCAAATCCAAGTCTGCCCAACTCCAAAGGCTAAAGGGACTGTTCTCAGTCTCTTAACTTCATGGTAACATTTTAAAATGCTGCCTCTGACCAAGTATTTGGTATTTGGGTTTGTCCTGGATTTGCTGCACAATAAGAAACTGTAGGCCTATTGATTAGTCAGCAGTTACTGTGTTGGGAAAGAGTTAATCAGCAGAGTACTCCAGAGGCAAAGAGTAAGCCAGGAAGACCTCTTTAGGAATAGAGAGGTGACTTGACAGGGGACATGTAAAGAGAGAACTAAGTAAGGTAGACAATTCCCAATGACCAAAAGAGAACCAACCAGGAGCAATGGCTAGATTTCACCCCTTGTAACCTAAGCAGGGGAGGGAAATGGAGAAGGACAGGTGAACTTACTGGCAGCAGCAGGCAAAAATGAACCAAGGAGAGTTTTTAGTACATTTTCCTGGTTGGGTCCTGAACCCAGCTCAAGAGGAAGGTGGTCTCTAGAGACATTGGGTGGGTTGCACAGAAGTTTTCTAAGTGGCTATGAGAAGCATGAACAAAGGTGGAGTTATCCCTATTGGCTTCAGTTTTCTGAATTCATTGGGACTGATAGAATCTAGTCCTATATAATGAAAGAATCCTTGAATTATCTGGATCAATAATTGTGATATTTAATCAACTATGCAATGATCTCATATGTATCTTGTTTGCTCAACTAAACCTTAAATTATTTGAGAATCAAAGCTATGCTGTTCCTCTTGTTGCCAGCTTCAAAGCCTGTGCCTATGGTATGTGCTTAATTTGCCCAAATTTGTCCCTCTTCCAGAGTATCCTACTTTAGTACCTCTTGCCAGAAACAGACACCTTTCTTCACATACCCAGACACTCACCAAGTAGATTCTATCTGCTAAATATCACTGGAATCTATCTTCTTTTCTCTGAATTACCAACACTTCTTGTTTAGACAGCTGGGAAAACTTCCTAACCTGTCCTTCCATTTCTACTTCTGCCTTCTATATGCTGTCATCAGAGTGATTTAAACCTCAACATCTCACTTTCCTGCTCAGATATTTCAGTGGCTCCCATTTGCTTTTAGAATAAAACACTAATTTCAAAGACCCTGCATAAATAAGGCCCTGCCTACCTTGTGTGTCTCGTCTCATAATACACCTCTTTGTTGCCTGTGCCTCAGACACCATGGCTGGCCTTCATAAAGTATCTTCTTTCCTCAAAACCTTCACAAAGATTGTTCTCTCTGCTCACCACACCCTTCCATTTTCCACTTAGCTCATCCTAAATGTTTCTTCCTCAGGCAGTCCTTTTCTGATTACTCAATATAGATCTAGACTTTTTGTTGTCTTCTCAGCACATTCAATTTGTCAGGTTCTTATAACTATTGTAAAATTATAGATGTTACCAGCTGACTGACTGCTAGATTGTAAGCTCATGGAGGCAGAGATCTTATATATTTTGTCTTTGCTGTATTCCCATTGCTGGGTACATAGTTGCTGTTCAATAAATATTGATTGAATGAATTCAGATATCAAGGAATTAATCTGTTTGTAATGACTAGTGGGTGGGAGGCAAGATGGAACCAAGAGATATAATATTGGGCTCCTGTGCCACAGTTTCTATCCACAGGTTTCTTTTTCCCTGCTTCCCATATACCCAAGAGGAAAGTTATTCCTTGTATTCTTCCTCACCAGAGATGTTTTGGGACACTCAATCTGTCCTTTTCCCATATGGCCACCAGGTGGCTGCAATTGCCTACAGAGTCAGGGAAAGCCTCTGGGAGAAAAGAAAACCCTTTAGGTTCCAAACAAGTTAGCATTGAAGGTGGACCTTGGAGATTTGTAGCAGGAGGGAAAGATCAGGGTAAAAAAGGAAAAACTACATGGACACCATTCTGGTAGCATTAGATTTTTACTTATTTTAAAATTTTCCCCATAAGCACATGTCAGGAAGAGAGTGTAGTTTGAGAAGTAACTTGAGAAAGGGTGAATATGGGTCCTATTTTTAGGTGTGGACATATGGGGCAAGGTATCAGAGTTAAGGAATAAAAAATTCACAAATTTTTATGACAGTAGACTGCATTTATTTTTATTTTTTGTATAAAGCTTTCTATTACACACTGCTTTGTTCTCTAAATATCTAAGAGTGGATATTTGCATGAGATGTATGTGTCTGAACCTAAAACCTTGAAAGTAAATAGAACATGAGTGTAGGGTCCAAGTCCTCTTGTGGTGATCTCTTGTGTTGGAGGGAGGTAGGGCAGAAGTGTTAAAAGCTGCCTGACTTTGTAAATAGCAGCAGCTTCAAAAGATTCATTTGACAAATGTTTCCTACAAGCCATAGAGTCTACACACATACATTCCTGGGGGATAATAAAAGGCATATGTACTGGGCATGGTGGTGCACACCTGTAATCTCAGCAGCTCAGGAGGCTGAGGCAGGAGGTTTTTGAGTTCAAAGTCAGCCTCAGCAATTTAGCCAGGCCCTAAGCAACTCAGTGAGGCCCTGACTCAAAATAAAATATAAAAGTGGCTAGGGATGTGGTTCAGTGGTCAAAAGCCCCTGGGTTCAATCCCTGGTGTATCAAAAAAAAAAAAAAAGAAAGAAAAAAAAGAGCAGGTTATTTCAAAACATCACATATGAAAGGGCTAAGGATGTGACTCAGTGATAGAGTGCTTGCCTAGCATGCATGAGGCCCTAGGTTTGATCCTCAGCAAAAAAAAAAAAAATGTAAACAGGATATGATAAACCAAATGATGGTATAGAAAAGGTTTCTATCCTCATGGCAAATCACAGGTAATTTCTTAATCCTTAAAACTTTCTAAATATTGTGTGTGTGTTTATTTGGAGAAGAGTACTATAAGTTCCATCAACTTCTCAAAAGGGCCCAGCTTTCTGCCCCTAAAAACAGTTTACACAAGTAACAAAAATTTAAAGAGCCTCCAAAAGTAAAATATAAAAAAATGACAATATAATGTGGTCCCAGAATTACTGGTACCTGTTTCAATGGTATGCTTCTACTGTGTCATACCTGCTGTGTTTCCATGGCAGAAATTCCTAAAACTTTTAACCTTGGGGATAAGTTAATGACTAATCTGAAGTGTTTTACTACAGTTCCAAATTTTGATCTAACTGTGCCTTGTTGCGAGTGAAGGGATCCATCATTTGGGCTTGGGACTGTTAACACCCAATCATGACATTGGGATAAGGTTAATACATCCAGTCCTGCTGCTGAGTTACAGGACAGCATACAAGTGTGTTGATATTGGGAGAACAGCCACTTAATGATAGATTAGCAAGAGCACATGACTTAGTTGCCAAGAAAACACAGTTTAAAACCTTGGATCCTTACCTTGGAAGAGTAGGCATTCAAAATACAAACATATGCTAACTTAGTAATGGGTATTCTATGCTCATGAGAAGCACTTAAAAAAGCTGATGAGTGTGGCCTGGGGTTGTGGCTCAGTGGTAGAGTGCTTGTCTAGCTGTATGAGGCACTGGGTTCAACCCTCAGCACCACATAAAAAGAAATAAAATAAAGATATTGTGTTCATTTACAACTAAAAACATTAAAATAAAAAAGCAGATGTGTGAATAAGTGAAGTGGGGATGGGAGTAAAGAATGAGATGAGGAATAAGATGGTCAGGACTGCTGGACTTGAGTCTGTCCCTTATTGAGAGCAGCTCAGCTGCTGCCTTTGGGGAGTTGCTATTTAGTGGGAGCTTGGGCATCCAGCTTCAATTACCTGACTAACTCATCTTTGTATTCCTTGTAGAAACAAAGTGTCTGGCATAGAATGGCAGTAAATAAATGCTTTTTTCAGGAATGAATGGTACACATAACACACACATACACACACACACACACACAGTGAAATATGTTGAACTCAAGTTAAAGAGATGTAGATAATGTAGTGTGCCTTGCTACTTAACCAGTGTCACTATGTGAAGTGAACTAGAGATCTGTATATTGAATTAGCTCTGGGCTGATAAATTCTTTGGGTTCTCCTACAGAGTAGTAAGGTAAATAAAATGCATAGGCTTGTCCTTAATAATCGGTCTAGAGTAGATAGGATTCCATAACAGACCATTTATTTAGCTACATGTAACAGAAACCTGGCTGTTGGAGTTTAAATACAAAGGGTTGCTAAGTGTCTTCTTAGAAGTCTGCAGTTAGTGGAACAGTGACTTCACTAGATCATCAGTATCTCCTATTTCTCCATCTTGTTTTCATGCTCATCAACTTTTTGGCTGTTCTACTTTTAGCCTGTATTGAAAGCAGGAAGGAGGGAAAGGAGACAGAAGAAAGGGTAATACCTAGGTTAAGACAGCAAAAAATTTCCCAGATATCCTTAGCAGACTTTTGACTACATCTTACTGATAGAAAACTCATAACATGATGATCCTTAGATTCCAAGGAATCTGGGATAGTATTTCATGACATTCACAACAAAAGCAGGATCTACTACTCTGGAAGGAGAGAATAGATAGGAACCAGAGACATCTTCCACAAGTAGTATGAAAAGTGCTATGCATACATTCATTGACAAAAAATATTATATGCACTTTGTGCTAGGCAATGTTCCAGGTACTGGGGATATAGTAGTGAATCAGACAAACAAGGTTCCTACTTTATTGGGGCTTATACTCTGGTGAGATGAACAATAAAGCAGATAAGATCATTTTAGTATTAAAAATTATACATACATACATTTATACATACACATATATATGTATTCATATACATATTCATTAATACATTTACCTGTACTAAATCACTTCTCTCAACAAACTTAAGTACTATATTGACAAAAGAATATGAAAGCACAGAAATGTTGAGCAACTCGCCAATAGTCATGCAACAAAGTAATAGAAGTAGGCTTTGAACAAAGGCAGTTGTAGCCCATTTACCTAACCACTGAGTTGTATCACATCACTGTGTGTTGAATGTAGGATGCTGTTTCAGTTACCTATTGCTGTTTAGGCAACTGTCCCCAAACTGTGTGGCTTAAGGTTACAACCACCATTACTTATTTTACTAATGAAACTAGGCAGGGTTTGGTAGGGTCAGCTTTTCTACTCCAAAAATTGTAAACTGGGGTATATCACTAGGAACTAGAAGATGCACTTTCAAGATAGCCAACCTATCTGTTTCCATGTGGGTCTCTACAGGGAAGTCTGGGTTTCCTCACTGCATGGTTCTAAGAGTGAGCTACCTAAGAGAATCAGGAGGAAGATGAATTATATGACCTAACTTCAGATTCAAGGAGAGGGAATAAGACTTCACTTCTCAGTAGGGAGTATCAACATTACACTGGAAGATGGGCTGTGAGATATTTTGGCCAGTTTGGGAAAATACAATCTATCACAGATACACTGGAAACAAAAGGAGGTACATGCTAACCCAGCCTAGAGTTGGGATAAAGAGTTGGTCTTTGCAGGGTTATGTATAGGGGAAATGGGATTTTGAGAAATGAGCATGGTCTTTCTTGAAAACCTAAGCTGGAATGTTGGCCCTAATCATTCATTTATTCATTAAAATAACTCTCTGATTTGTTAGGCATGGTGCTGAACTTAGTAAGACACAATTTCTGCCCTCACAGAGCTTACAGATTGGTGGGAGATTGAGACACTGGGGAGCGTCTTGTTACCCTGTTTCCACTTTTACACAGTAGTCAAGGGGAATTTTAAACTTCCCTTATAAGGCTTCGTACTTCTCTTAAATAGAAACTCTTACCATGTTCCACATGGACTGGCATGATTTGGCTTTCTAGGCTCTTTTTGGTCTCCTATATTGGCCTTTCCATTTCTGAAATTCCCCTAAGCTCTTTCATGTCAGAGCATTCTCACATGCTCTTCCTCTGCATGGAGCACTCCACCTTCCACTCTTCCTTTGGCCAACTCCTATTAAAGTTGCTTAATCAAATGTCACTTTCCTAGAGAGTGTTCCTTGATCCCTCAAATAGTGTCACATTTCTTGTCATACCCTCTCAAGAGTGTTCTGAAACATCTTAACTATAATTAAAACATTTAGTATAATTGTTTAATGTCCATCTTCCTCCCTTGTTAGACTGTAAGCTCCATGAGGACGGCTCTTACTTGCCACCAAAACCTAGCACCTGGCCCACTGCCCATCCCAGAGCAGCTATTCAGTAGCTCTCCATAGAATGAGCAAATATGTAATAAATACTATAGAAGAGCCAAGTATGAAATGCCTCAGGGTACATAGCAGGAGCACCTAATCCCTTCAGGGGGATAAGGGAAGGCTTTCTGGGGAGGTTTCTCAAGCTGAGAGCTAAAGGGCATGGAGTTAGCCAAATAATGAAGAGGAGGGTAAGGGAGAGAGGTGGGGAGAGAGTGCTTCCTGCAGAGAATAAATAGCATGTGGAAACATTAGAGGTGATAATGTAAGCTCAAAAGAAGAAAAATGCAGAATGGTAAAGCTGAGAGGAGGGGGATGTGGCCAGTTGTGGGGGTAATGAGGAATATAAAAGCCAAACCAGGTCATTTTTTTTTAAAATTGATACATAATTCACAAACCATAAAATTCATCCTTTTAAAGGATACAACTGAAGTACTTCCCTAGCTTGCATGAGAACTTGAGTTCCATTTCCAGCACCACAAAATAAATACATAAATAAATACTTAAAAATATTCAATCAGGCTTAAGGATTTTGTAGGGAGGACATAATCAGATTTGCCTTTTAAAAAGGTGGCTTGAAGCCAGGCATGGTGGCATACACCTGGAATTCTAGTAGCTCAGGAGGCAGAGGCAGGAGGATCACAGGTTTGAAGCCAGCCTTAGCAATTTAGTGAGATCCTGTCTCGAAAATAAATAAATAAATAAAATTTAAAAAGGGTTTGGGTTTTAGCTCAGTGGATCAGTGCCCATGAGTTGAACTGCCAGTACCACCTCCCCCCGCCAAAAAAAAAAAAAAAAAAAAAAAGTGACTTAACTACATTGCCAAGAAGGGATGGAATGGAGAGGAAAAAGTAGAGACAGGGTGGCCTGATGCCCTTTCAGTAGTCTGGGGACAAATGAAGGCAACTGGAACTAGGTTAGTGGTAGTGGTCAGAGAAGATGGACGAAAGTTACTGGGTAATTTATTGGGTAGAAGTCTGAGAGAGAGGGAAGACCCAAGAATGACACCAGGTGTATGGGCAGCTGAGAGGATGGTGAGTCCAGTGATAGAAAAGGAGAATGCTGGAAGATGAAAAAATGAAATTTTAGCTGGCTATATCCTTATATTCTGGGACATGAAAGTACACATGTCCAAACCCTGGGACTGGAAAGCTCTGGGTCAGAGTTACAGGTATGGGAATTGTTAGCAGATAGTTATAATAGCCAAAGACAGGACGAGATCATCTCAAGAATGCAGTCTGGGTCAGGTGCCATAGTGCACGCCTGTAATTCTAGTGATTCAGGAGGCTGAGGCAGGAGGATCGAAAGTTTAAGATCAGTCTCAGCAACTTAGCAAGGGCCTAAGTACTAAGCAAGATCCTATATCAAAAACAAAAGGGCTGGGGTTGTGGCCCAGTGGTTAAGTGATCCTGGGTTCAATATCTTGTTACGGGGGAAAAAAAAAAGTGAATTCTGATCTAAGCAGAGGACCTAGGAGAAACAATATCTAAGGGAGGGGAGGAGGAAAAGGGGACTCACAGGGAAGAGCTGGAGAGTGACAGGGAAACTGGAAAAGGATGCCATGCAAATTAAAGGGAGAATACTTGAGAGGACGGAAAGTGTGAAATACTGCACAGAGGCTAAATAGTAATATGATGACGGGAGTATCTGGATTTAGCAAATAGCAGATCATTGGTGGTTTTGTTAGGCTATACACATGGGATATGAGAATCTAAAAACCCAACTGCAGAAGAGAGTTTTGTAACATGTACAGAATACCAACCTTTCATTAGATTCCATTTCTTCAATCATAAAATAGGGATGATAGAAGGTAACAGTAAGGACAATAGACATAACCCTGGACATGTTCACCCTAAATGAAAGTTTCTTATAATGTTGTTGAAAAGATTAAATGAGATAAAGTATGGTAAAATTCCTAGCACTATAAACATCCTTGGAAAAGACACTACCACTAACCAGTTTTAGTTTTCTTTCCCATTCCTTGTGTTAATCACTATTTAGTAACAAATACTTCCCTTGGAAATTCCTGAGATTTGGTAACATTCAGCATTCAGGTCCATCTGTCATAATCAAAAAATTAGTAGACCATATTTGTGACTAAGATTTCAGTTAGAATTTCTGTGAGAAAATTTGAGTCAAGTAAAATGCAGTTTTATGTCATACCAAGTGAGGGAAAGCAAGGAAACAGGGCTAACTATAAGAAACAAGAGTAACTAAAGTCAGCCTCTTTGCTCCTTCAGTTTAAGGTGCTATATAATCCAGGTTGTGAGTCCTCTCAATTTGCAGTTATCTTAAGTGAATCATTCTGAAGTGAGAAATGGCTAAATGGTAAATTTGATTGTTTAGAATAATAGCTACCAATTATCGAGTGCCTTATTATACCTAGTGCCTTATGTAAGTTAGCTCATTTAATTCTTGCTACAACCTTGTGAGGATGGCTGGTTTACAGATGAGGATACTGACACCTAAGGGATAAACAACTTTCCCAGGGTGAAAGTTAGTAAGTATAGAGCTTGGTTATCTCTCTGACTGTATAGCTCCAACTCTTCCTCTTATGGACAGATTAGGTAGCTTCATTATTGGCTCTGGAACATATTTCAGAAGTTAAATAGTTTGGGGACATAGAATCTTTTAAAAAAAATTAGTTGGTTTTAACTTGGGAATTATATCAAATTTAGTCTGAAATTAATATAATTCCTTACACAGAAAGTTAGATAGTAGCAAAGGGCCAAGAGCAAATGGAGGGGCAAGAGGATGACAGCTGAGGTTAGCACTATAACACATCTATAATCTGAAGAGTAATCAGTGGGAAAAGTGTCAGGGCAATATTACTGGGACTACTATGGCTTGACAATAGATGGAAAGAGCAAGACATTTCAAACTGGCCAGCTATTGGGAAACCTAGGCTATCCTTATCCCAAATGCTTGAAACAAACATTTGAGATATTGAATTTTTTCAGGTTTTGGAATACTTGAATATACTAGTGAAACATTGTGGGTATGGGATCCAATTCTAAACATGAAATTCATTTATGTTTCATATATACATTATACACATAGCCAGAAGGTAATTTGATAAAATATTTTTAATGTGCCTGCATTTTGACTGTGACCCGTCATAAGAGGAACCTTTCACTGTGGACACTATGTTGGTGCTCTTGGATCTTGAAGCATTTCAGATTTTGGATTAGGGATGTGAACTCAACCTACATCAAGAAGTTGTTAAAAGGCAATGTTAAGCAGCATGCTTATAATTACAGTGACTTGTGAGGCTACAGCAGGAGAACCAGAACTTAGACAGACCCCATCTCAGAATAAAAAATAAAAAAAGGTTGGGTGTGTAGCTCAGTGGTAGAGCATCCTGGGTTTAATCCCTGCTATCAAAAACAAACAAACAAAAAACCCATCACATATCAAGCTAAGGACTTCGAGAAACAAATACATTATACCCCCTTAAAGCCAACTTCTATCTCAATTCCTGTGATTTTAACAATAGCATTTCAATCCTTGAGTTATCATATCATCTGCATTTTCACCTTTTCTTCAGGTTTACTCTGGTCCATGAATTTGGGTATATAAATGCCTGTTTTACCTCTTAGTAGCTCTGGTCTTAGATAAGATGTTTAATCTCCTTTTTTTTTCTGAGGATGGGGAAGAGGCCACTGGAAATTAAACCCAGGGGCACTTTACCACTTTACAATGAGCTACATCCCCAGCCCTCTTTAGTTTTGAGACAGAGTCTCTCTAAATTGCCCAAACTGGTCTAGAATTTGTGATAATCCTGCCTTCACATCCTGAGTAGCTGGGATTACAGATGTGTACCACTGAATCCAGTTTATTTAATCTTCTTTTACCTCTGCTTCCTCATCTGCAAAATGGAGATTGATAATTTCTATTTTATAAGGTTATTGGAAGGAATAAGTGAGTTAGTACATATTAAGTACTTACTTAGGGTATTTCACTTACAAAGTAAAACTTCATAAAAATCAGCAATCATACCTGGGTGTGGTGGCACATGCCTATAATCCCATCAGCTCAGGAGGCCGAGGCAGGAGGATCACAAGTTCAAAGGCAGCCTCAGCAATTTAGCAAGGCCCTAAGCAACTCAGGGAGCCCCTGTTTCTAATTAAAATACAAAAAAGGGCTGGGGATGTGGCTCCGTGGTTGAGTGCCCCTGGGTTCAATCCCCAGTACCTATCCCCCAAATAGCAATCATCATCCATTTTTTACACATAAATTATTTACTTTATATTTTGATTTATCTGATGTCTTTATTTCAACAAGAAAACAAACACTAAAGCTAGTGTGGTGGCACAGACAGGAAGTAGATTTCTGGTGGGTCAGTTTTGCAATGTTCTGTTCACTCTGGAAGCCCAGACTACAGTGCTTCTCTGGCCTATCCAACAATTTTGTAAGTTAACTTCCTGCATAAAATCCCTTTTTGCTTAAAGGAACTAAAATTGCTTCTGTTACCTCCAAGTTCTCTAAAGCACACACTATTTACTGAATGAGCAGTTTGTCATAAATAGTATAAATATTTTCCTGGTTTTTCTTTTAACCTTGTTTGTGATGTTTTGTATAGAGTAAAATTATTTATTTATTTATTTGTACTGGGGATTGAACTAGGGGCACTCAACCACTAAGCCACATCCACAGCCCTATTTTATATTCTATTTAGAGACAGGATCTCATTGAGTTGCTTAGCACCTCACCATTGCTGAGGCTGGCTTTGAACTCATGATCCTCCTGCCTCAGCCTCCCTAGCCGCTGATATTACAGGTATGTATCACCACACCCAGCTAATTTTATTGAGTAAATCTGTAAGTATTTTACTTTATGGCTGTTACTCATGTAGCTTAAGACTTAAATTTTTTTTTTTTTTCGTTGTTGATGGACCTTTATTTTATTTGCTTATTTAGATGTGGTGCTGGGAATCGAACTCGTGCCTCACACATACAAGGCAAGCACTCTACTCCAGAGCTACAACTCCAGCCCCAAGTTTAAGACATTTTTACCTCCAGGAAAATATTTTCTTATGTCACATTCTAGTTCTTTTAAATTTTTGTTTTTAATATAGCTGTTTAATCAGAAGAGAACTCCTTCAAAATACTGATGTTAAACCTACATATTTAACAATATGCATGTTTGTCCTTTCCTTCTTCCCTTCTGACCTGTCTGAAGTTAATCCCTTCACTTGTGCTCTTGCTCTCATTCTTTCCTCCTATTTCCTGGAAGTAGATAAGACTTCCTAATTTGAGTGTAAGGAAGAGATCATTTCTCAGCCTGTTATAGTTTAGATATTAGGTATCCCCCAAAAGCTCATGTGTGAAACAATGCAAGAAAGTTCAGAGTTGAAATTATTGGGTTATGAGAACATTATCTAATCAGTATATTGATCCCCTGATAGGGATTAATTGGGTGGTAACTATAGGCAGGGTGGAGGAGATGGGTCTTTGGGAGGGTGCCTTTGAATATATATTTGCCCCTGGAGAGTGGAACTCTCTCTGTGCTTCTTGGGGGTCTTGTTCAGATATGCTTTCCTCTGTTACAATCTTCTACCTTGATGTTCTAAGTCATCTTGGGCCCAGAGCAATGGAGTTGGCTATCATGGAGTGAGACTCTGAAACTGTGAGCCCCCTAAATAAACTTTTCTTCAAGTCTTTTGGTCACAGCAGTGAAAAAAAGCTGACTAAAACATAGCCTTTTGACTAAGATCAAATGAGTATAAGGAAGAAGCCTGAGGAATTTGAATAAGTCACTGTGGAGAACTGACTCAAAAAGGAAAATGATTTGGAATAAGGTTTTCTGAGCAGGGATACTAGTCAGAATGGTTATGGTATTTTCTTCCACAGCACTTTGAAGTGCACCAAGGCAAGGGGTTTCCAAGAAAGAAAATGAGAAATGGGCACCAGCACTGGCAGGAGAGTTGTTGAAATGAAAGACCATGGAATTTAAACTGGACAAGAGCGCTTGCCTAGCACGTTGTGAGGCCCTGGGTTCGATCCTCAGTACCATATAAAAATAAATAAGTAAAATAAAGGTATTGTGTCCAACTACAACAAAAAAATAAATACTTTAAAAAATAAACTGGTCAGGAAAGGAGGTGAAGACAGAATGGAGGAGAAATAATTAGGAGAAAATTAAGAGTTAGGTAGATAGAATGTCTCATGGGGGTCCAGGAATAGTAAGATATAAGTAAACGAGAGAGCTAGAAAAATACAAAGTTGTAGCCAAAACGGAGGCTTGAATTTAATATTACAAAAGAGGTAGGTACAAAGGCTGGGGATGCAAAAGTAGGATGGAGAATAAGGTCTCTGGAAATCAGGGTTTCGAGGAACTGAGAGGGTGATAAAAGGATCTTTCATATGGATCCTAAGGTGACCCATGATGATGGCAGAACTAAGCCAGTATCTTCCGTGAATGAGAGGAATGGTCAGGAGGTTAAGTGGTTGACAGTGTAGGAGAGAGATTAAGGAATATACAGCTAGACTGCAGGAGCCTTCAAGGAATATAAGCTTTTTATACAAGATGGGGGAATGTGGAAATAACCCTGGAGATAAAGAATTAGATTCACTCAGGTATGTGATGTGATGATTCCAGGTCTATTTTATATATTACTTTAAAATATCTATTTGGGACTACCAAACTTCGTGACCACTGTCTCCTATTCATACTCTCTTCCTTCTTCTGGTGTGTGTGTATATATGTATGTATGTATGTGTGTGTGTGTGTGATATATTTTTTATATATATATATGTATTTGGATTATTTATTTATCCAGCCAGCCAGTATTGGGGATTGAAGTCAGGGCCTTGTGCATGCTAGGTAAGTGCTCTACCACTGAGCTAAAAAAAAACCCCAACCCCTTTTTGTTTTTAAATTTTGAGTCAGGGTTTCGCTAAATTGCCCATGCTGATGCAAATTTGGGATCCTCATGCCTGAGCCGCTCCAGTTGCTAGGATTACAGGTGTGTACCACTGTGCCAGACTATATTTGGTAACTTTGTTTTTCTCCCTGTGGTACTTGGGATTGAATCCAGAGGTGCTTTACCATTGAGCTACAACCCCAGTCTTTTTTATTTTTTTATTTTGAGATAGTATCTCACTAAGTTGCTGGGCCACTGAGTCCTGGAACTTAAGATTTTCCTGCCTCAGTCTCCCAAGTAGCTGGGATTATAGGCATGTGTCACTATACTTGGCCAATATTTAAATTTTTGAGGAACAGTCAGTTTGTATTGTTCTTGACTTCCACGTAGCATCTGGCAGCAAGTATCCTGTCTTTCTTTTGGAAGCTGTGTTTCTATTCTTCCATAGTAACAATATCTGGTACATCTCAATTTGTTTTTCTTTGGTTTGTTTCTCTTCTCCTCCTTGCCTCCGTCTTTCAAAGTTCCCCCAAGGTTCTGGCCTCTACTCTTCACTTTATATTCCAACATTCTTACTCTACTATAATTTTCTATTATGAAATTACCACTCCAGTCAGATGACTTCCAATGCCACCTGCTAAATGCTTTCTTATTCAACCTAGACTGCCCTTGCTTTTCCTGTCTGCTATATAGATCCTAGTTATCTTTTGGGGCCAATTTCAAACACAAACACAATTACATATGAAAGTTCTTCACTGACTCCCTCTACTCTCCACCCCACCACCCCCATGCAAGATTTCTTCTCCAAACACTTAGATTTTACAGCCCATAGCAATAATCAAAATCACATATTCATATTTAGCTTTTTTTGTGTTTATGTCTGATCTCCTCCCTCTACCTAGCCAATCTCTTGGTCACTTAAAAAGTTGCTTGACAACATTTTCAAGTTGCTTGAAAAGATAAAAAAATAAATTTACCTTCCCAATAGCAACTACTATAGTTTCTTGTATATTCTTCTAAGTACACCCTGTGGATATTCACATATTTTTTCTTTCACAAATGGCATCATGTTTATAAATATATATATATTTTTCTATATCTTTCCTTTTCCTCCTCATACTTTAATTAGTCTTTAAAGTGGAACTTCTCTAATGTTTTCAAAAGCATATCAGTATATCCACTGATTATACTTTGCTTACATGTTTTTCTCTTCAAAGGACCAGAGATTAATAAGGAGTGATTTCTTTAGAGAAATCAGACTACTTTTTATCTCATTTAGCTCCATTTGCTAATGTGATCAATTAAATGTGTTTACACAAATTAAACTTTCTCATTGTAAAAATTCAGAATTAACAAATTAAAAATCTTTGATATGTGTACCTTCAGAATTTTAAAAGGCAATTTTATAAATAAAAATATATCTCTAGAAATATTTAAAATTGTTTTTAATTTTTTTAAAACACAAATAAATTAACAAGTATCATAATGTAAATACTGTTTTGTAGCCTGTTTTTTTCCATGCAACTGTATATTGAAGAATCTGACCCTATTTATATATACAGATGTAACTCACTTTTCATGATTGTTGTGTAGTTTGCTTAGCTATTCCTTACTATTGGAGATTTTAGGGTGTTCAGAAGTTTTTGCTACACACTGTTATAATGAACATCTTTGCACATGTCATTTTATGTACAAGTGTGATGAGAAACATCTACTATTTCCCAAAAGTAGGTGCTAAGGAGGATGTGGTAGCATATACCTATAATCCCAGCAACTTGGGAAGCTGAGGCAGGAGGCCCACCCTGGGCAACTTTGTGAGACTCTGTCTCAAAATTCTAAAAGAGCTAGGGATATAGCTCAGTGGCAGAACATTTACCTTGCATGTGCTAGGTCCTGGGTGCAATCCCCAGAACCTCAAAAAGAGAAGAGAATAGATGGTAAGAAGTCGAATTGTGGGCTGGAGCTGGAGCTCAGTGGCAGAGCGCTTGCCTGGCATGCGTGAGGCATTGAGTTTGATCCTCAGCACCACATAAAAATAAATAAAGGGCTATCCATCTACAACTACCAAAAAAAAAAAAAGACGACGAAGAAGAAGTAGTAGTAGTAATAGTAGTAGTAGTAGTAGTAGTAGTAGTTGTGGAATCCTGTGTCAAAAAAAAGTTTGTAAGTATAAACTGTACATGGTGGTGCATACCTCTAATCCCAGCTCTGTGGGAGTCTAAGGCAGGAGGATCCCAAATTTGTGGACAACCTCAGCACCTTAGTCAGACCCTGCCTCAAAATGAAAAAAATTTTAAAAGATTTGTGGGTGTAGCTTAGTGGTAGAGTACTCCTGTATTCAATCCCACTACTGAAAAAAAAAAAAAGTATAATAAATACAATTAAATTGACCTTTGCCAATTCTGTGGTATAACTGTTATAAGTTAATAATAGTAATACAATGTGACCTTCAATTTTGGTTTCCTTTAAAACCATAGGACATCCTATTGACTCAGAAGTCATATAGTATATAATACAAAGTACACTAGAATAGCAATTGATAGATTCAAGTCCTGGTTCTGTCCTTAACTAATAATAATTGATCTTAGGCAATCCTATCAATATCTAAGCTCCAGTTTCTGAACCTAAAAATGTGGTATGGGTACCATTAGTAGCATGGAAGACACTTTAATTTTTTTTTTTAGTTGTCCATGGACCTTTATTTTATTTATTTATATGTGGTGCTGAGAATCAAACCCAGTGCCTCACACATGTAAGGCAAGTGCTTTACCACAGAGCTACAACCCCAGCCCCACTTTAATTTTTATTGATTTTATTTTAATAATTAGTTGTAATTTAAAATAAATCAGGAAGCTATAATTACCAAATCTAATCAAAGATTTATGGATATTATTTCCATTAATATAAAATTTACTTTTTTTTTTAATTGTAGATAGATACATAATATTTATTTATTTTTATGTGGTGCTGAGGATCAAACCCAGTGCCTCACACATGCCTGGCAAGTGCTTTACCAGTGAGCTACAGCCCCAGCCCTAAAATTTACTTTTAAAAAATTTATTTAAGTTAAAGAAAAGTTCATCAGCTGGGTTGGTATTGTGATGCAGGCTTGTAATCTTCACCTTGGGAGGCTGAGGCAGGAGGATCACAAGTTCAAAGCCGGCCTTAGCAAATTAGTGAGCCCGAAGCAACTCAGGGAGACCTTATCTCTAAATAAAATATAAAAAAGGGCCGAGGAATGTGGCTCAGTGGTTGAGTGCTCAACATGGGGTTCCTGACTTTTCACTATGTTAAGGACATTAAGAACCACAAAACCCTGACACACATACTCATCATCATTACTTCATAAAAAGATATTTTAAATGTTTTATAATTATAAAACATGTAAATATAGTCTGAAAAAATTTTAAAATTGTATAGGAAATATTAAAAAGTCATTTTCAGCCAGGTATGGTGGCACAGCTACTCAAGAGACTGAGGGAGGAGGATCACAAGTTGCAGGCCAGATCCTGTCTCAAAATAAAAGAACTGGTGATGTACCTCAATGGTAGAATGCCCCTGGGTTCAAACCCCTCTACTGCAATAAGTAAATAAACAAAAACTTTAAAGCCATTCTCTTGCTCTCTCTCTAAAATCCACTCATGGACCTTCTTCCATACAGATCTATCTTACTTTTACAAAGGACATTTTTAGCATTATAAAAGTTTGGGTGCATATGTAATTGTTAATTTATAAATATGTGTGTACATTTATATAATACTTATGATATGTAGAATATGTAACATAAAAATATATGTACATATATTTATTATATGCTAAATGTAGTATGCTACATATTTATCCTACATGAAAATATATAGAAGAAATAAAAAAATTCAGAATAAAGGATAGGCTTTTTGGGAAAGGACAAGTGGCAACCAATGATTTAGATGACTCCCCGTTGCTATAATTCCATGATTGAGTCTAAAATATCCTGAGAATTTACATGCCTTTCATTATTATCAGTAACATATTTGGAAAATCATAGATTACAGTGTTTTTAATACTTCAATCTACATGTTGTATGAGCACAATTCTGTGCATTTTTACTTATTAGTTTCCTATATCAATTTTAACCTGAGGTCACAGACTTCAGGGTATTCATAACATCATGAACATATATATGATATTACATATATATATATATATATATGTATGTGTATATATATATATATATGTATGTGTATATATATATATATATATATGTATGTGTATATATATATATATAGTTTTTTTCCTGGGGAAAAATAATTTCTAATCCAAATAAATTTCTTGATTTTTCTTTACATAATAATATTATTGGTTGGGGAGTCCCCTCAATGTTTTTCCTTTTTTTCCCTTTTGTATGTGTGCAGGGGAGCATCTAATTTCTATTTTGCATTTGATAGCTGCATATCTGAATTCCTTGTTCTCACCTTAACAAGTCTAATTTTTTTTAAAAAGTCTCTATCCATTAATCATAGGGATTTAATTACTTATTTTTTTTTAGTTGTACATGGACACAATATCTTTATTTTTTATTTGTTTATTTTTATGTGGTACTGAAGATTGAACCCAGTGCCTCACACATGCAAGGCAAGCACTTTACCCACTGAGCTACATCCCCAGCCCTGGATTTAATTTAAAAAATCTTTTTTTGGTACCAGGCATTGAACCCAAGGGTTTTTAACCATTAAGCCATATCCACAGCCTTCTCTATTTTAAGACAGGGTCTCACTAAGATGCTTAGAGCCTCGCTAAGTTGGTGAGGATGGCTTTGAATCTGCAATCCTCCTGCCGCAGCCTTCTGAACCACTGGTATTACAGGTGTGTGCCAACATACCCAGCTAAAAAAAAGTCAGTCTTTTCTTTTCTTTTTTTTTTTTTTAAAGTACAGAAAGACAGAAAAAGGCAGAGGGTGATGCCTACATTGAAACTGACAGGCAGGGAGACAAGCAGCTAGAGTCAGTAGGATATACAGGCATAGATAAAAGGCCTAATAAGCATAGACATGTGAAAGAAATATAGAGAAACTTGGAAACACAGAAGGAGAGACAGAAGAACTGACCAGGTATAGAAGAAGGATAGCAGAAAAACAGGTTGACAGAAAAAAATGACCACAGTGAGGCAGGCAAGATCACCAAGGGAAACACAAATAAGTGAACAGAAAGGAGAAGAGAGAGAGAGAAGAAAGGCACACTGATGAAGAAAACTATAAGGTAAGAAGGAAGACAAAGTGATAACAGTGTTTTATACAACAGAGTGCCTTATAATTATTTCAGGCAGACAGGGAGAATCCAGCAGACAGATGGGGTGATGGAGAGATATATGTCAATCACACAGAAGAGAGGAGAGGTAGCCAATCAGAAGGAAAAGCTAGAATGAAGACCAAGACAGATACAAAGAAAGAATAAACAAATAAATAAATAAAAGAGAAGGGGTGGTGGGGGGAGAAAGAAGAGCAACACAGAGATAAGAGGCTAAAACAGTTGAATTCAGGAATATACAGTAAATAAGCAGAAATGAAAGAACAGTATATCCTGTAAAGTCTTATCATCTTTCTCAAAGAGACCTGGTTAGAAGCTGAGTCTTTGTCTCCCTGCTAAAGAGTTATAATGTTTCTAAGGCAGCATGGGAGAAGATCCAGAAGGAAGGATGAAAAAGGAGACATTTTAATAAGGAGCAAAGCTGTTGAGATGAGGAGAAAGAAACTTCTGGGATAGGCCCAAGTCAACCACCTAAAAGGAGCTGGCTCATGCCTGTAATCTGAGATACTCTGGAGGCTGAGGTAGGAGGATCACAAGTGTGAGGCTAGCCTGGGCAACTTGATGAGACCCTTTATCAAAACAGAAGTAAAAAGGCCTGGAGATGTGGCTCAGTGGTAAAGATCCCCTGGCTTCAATCCCCAGTACCAAAGCAAAACAGTACAAAACTCTCAAAGGATCTAGGTTGGTATGACTTCATAGAATTCATATAGATAAAAAGGAAAGATAGAGCAGGCCACTGTCTATTTGTGTTTAAGCACAGCTTACAAACTATCTGTACTTATTAATTGTACTACTATTTATCTGGTAGTTTTTAGTATATTCATTTAATGCATTCATGTCTTTCTTTTCTCAATTAATACATACTTCAGCAATGAAGAGACCAAGAGTATGTTTCCAGACAACTATGTAGAGTAGAATAGGAGATCAGGAGAGAACAAGACCTTTCTAAGAATTCCTTTGGTACTGGTAGTAAAAGCAGGTAATTAGCAACAGTCAATCAAAAACAGAAGTTCCATAAAGTAGAATCAGAAAGACAAGAGGCAAGAGGTGGCAAGTCATGTAAAGTTAGGAAGGAGCATCCAGCAAAACTGAAAAAAAAAAAAAAAAACATAAGGAGTACAGCAAAACCAAGTAGACTTGTGTATGTATAGATTCTTCTCTCAGGCATTATCCAAGAAATGTGACATAGTGGCTGCCTCTTGGGAGAGGAAATCATGGCCAGGGAGCGAATAAATGGGAGGTTTACTTTGCACACTGCTAGTACTTTTACATTTTCATACCACAGTTATGTCTATTCAAAAGTTAATTGAGGCTCGGCGCAATAGCATAAATCAGTAATCTCAGCGATTCAGGAGACTGAGACCAGAATATTTCAAGTTCGAGGCCAGGCTGGGCCACTTAATGAGACCCTGTTTCAAAAAATAAAAAGTATTGTGGATATAGTTCAGTGATAGAGTGCTTGCCTAGCACATGCAATGCCCTTCATTCAATCCCGAACACCACACACACATACACACACAAGCTGATTGGGGAAGAGGGGACTAAAGCTGATTGGGGAAGAGGGGACTAAAACAAAAAAAGAAAGAAAAGCAAGCAGGGATGTGGACATAAAGAAAGAGCCTATCAAACAGACAGTAAAAAGGCAGGAAAATAGAGACTAGGGGAATGGCAAAAAGACTGAGGTGTAGGCAGCCTGTCTAGGAAGCAGAAAGAAAAAGACATGACTGAAATGAAAGCAAGTGTGAGAGAAGACAGGGTAGGAGATATGATACAAAAGCAGGTAAGACTTTGGAGGAAGGGGTTACTGAGAAGTCTGGAGAGAGAGACCATCCCCCTTCATGGGATGTTAGCAGAAAGCAAGTCAAGGGAGAAAGAGGTGATAAACAGAAAGAGGGAAAAGATACAGGCTTTAAGCAGTAAGAGAACAGAGAGCAAGTAGGGAAGACAGGCAAGAAGACAGAACTAATGGGAAGCAAGGAAAAATGATGAAAAGAGATAAATAGGAACAAGTAGAAGGGCAAGATAAGAGGCAAACCAAGATGGGGATGGCCATAGCAGGACCTGGAAGGTAGACAAACCAAGAGATGCAGGCTAAAAAAAGTGATAGAGACAGGCAGGCGGGGAGACAGATGGCTAGAGAGAGAGTGGTGGGCAAACAGCCAGAGAAGCAGACAGACAACCAGAGAGAGAAAAAGGCTGCCAGCCAGTCAGGAAGGAGCAGACAGGCAGGCAGGCAGACACCATAACAAGAGCAAGCAGGTAAAGAGGCAGGCAGAAACAAGGATAGAAGACGACAAATCAAGAGGTCAGCAGGGAGGAAAAAAGATCAGGAAAGAGATACAGACAGGCAGAGGGGCAGATGAACAAGGAGAGAATCAGGAAGATTAAAAAATCTGTATATAAAGCATACTCAAGAGAAAAAATGATGAAGGCCTGCATAGGGATGCACATGGCCACCTTTAGCCACCCACACCTGCAGATCATGCCACATGTGGCAGGCGGGCAGAGAGATTCAGCATAGAGTGAGAGGACCGAAGGCAGAGAGACTTGTGGAGCACCACATGATGCATAGTGTACCCCCACCAACACACACACACACACACACACACACACACACGGAGACACTTTTTCTAGACCTTGGTTTGATCCACAGACATACAGAAGGGACCAGAAAGGGGGAGACAGGCACAAACAAGGAAGAGCCATACACAGAGATGACACAGGAAGACAGAAGAAAACAGAGGACAGAGATGGAAAGTCACTTGCAGGTGATGGAGACTGAGAGTCAAAGGCAAGACAGACAGTATTAGCAAACAATAAAGATGCACACATAGAAAAGCCATACTCAGAAAAAAAGGAGATACCCAGATGAACTAGTACAGAGACTCAGAGAGCGGACAAGAGAGCTAAATTGAATGGAAGAGGAATGATTTGGGAGCATAGGAAAGAGAGTTTCACAGTTCAAATTATTAGGGAAAAAAGGGGAAACCAATGTTCAATAAGGTACAGTAGTAGGAGCGGGGTAGGATATCAACAATGAACATTTTATTTTAGCCTTATAAACAAAAATTTATATTGTATTCCCTTGTCACTAATGCTTTCTGACTGCTGTGCTCTTGAGCAGGGCTGGGGGCCAGCAATTACACTTCAGAGGTGAGAAATGGCCCAGGAAAGAGACCATTCTACTGGCCTGGGATGGGAAGCAAGGGAGGGGCAAAGTGAGATCAAAAGAATGGGAGAAAACTAGAGTAAGAAAAAGGTGAGGTACAAAAAGGGTAGAATTAAAGCTAATTCACCTCCTTCCTTTGCTCCATTCATTGGCAAGCTGTATTTTATGTCTAGACCTCTCTGATCAAATCTGTTTGAGAAAGCTACTTTTTGGACTCGTTTTCAACTGTCCATCTGATTCCTGATACCACATTTAAAATAAACACTAGGGTAGAGGAAACCAAGGGTTAGCAAGATAGACAAAAATGCCTGAGTGTAACCCCTACCTCAGTCCCAGTTACTTTTCTCTTTCCTGGTACCTCAGTTTCTTCTACTTTATCAGTGCTGGAGATCATGGAGGAAGGGAAATATACTGAAACAGGAGAAAAGAGAAAATAATTTCACAATCTTCAGACTTTATCTCTCCCCTTTATTCTAAAAATCTGTTCTGTTTAACCCCAAATTAATTCCTCAAGTCAGCTTAATTTTATATGCTAGCAACTTGGGGAGGGGAGGCTGAGGGAAAGAGAAAAAAAGTGAAGATAAAATTTACAACAATTATAAATCACTGAAAAGGCTGGGCAAAGGGGAGAATCAAACATGGACTCCTTTGAAAAAAAAAAACTCAATCATCGTATCTATTCATATCTCTCCCCCAAAAGTCACTAGGATTTCTGTCACTTTTTTTAAAGAAATAAGAAAAATATCCAGTACCGCTTCTCATTTAAAAGATGCCTACACAATTAAATGCATTTTGACTTCAATGAGGTATGTAGAAACAGAGTTATATATAAACATATATTTCATCTTTTTCCTTTTCAATGCCTGAAGGGGAAAAAAAAAAAAACCTTCACATCAAACCACTCCCTTCTGAAGTATTCAAAAAAAAAAAAAAAGCTTTTCTTTAGAGAAGGGAGGTGGGGAGAAAGAGACTAGTAAAGAAAAGAAAAAAAATTCAATCTAGTTGGACTAGTATCTAACTAGTTAACCTTTAACAATTTATGCTGATGTCAGACTGAGCATGAGTACTGATTAATGCCCCCCCCAAATATTTTTTATAAGGGGGGAGTTAGTCACAGCAGCCATTTTTGTTTTATGCAGAAATCCTTCATGCCCCCCCAACACACACACACACACACACACACACACACTTCAGTACACAAGGAAAATATCTCTATTAATCTGTGCACTAATCAGTTATGAAAAAAGGAAGAAATTTGTGGGTTTCTGGGTAGAGGGTTGGAGATGGGGGTGTAACAGGGAGGAGAATGGGGGGGTGAAAAATGAAATATTAAGCCAGCCATTTTGTTTTAAAAGGGGATTTTTCCCCCTCTCTCTTTCTTTATGGAGGGGGTGGCGGTGCTGGAGGGGGGGGTTGTTTTAAAAATAATTTCAAGGCGGCCATCTTAGTGCCTCAGCTCTGAGAAATATTTCTGAGCGCCCCCCTCAGAATTTAAATATATTTAAAGCAACGGAGAGGGGGGTAGAGAGAAGTCGAAAACTTTTATATATATATATATATATATATATATATACACACACACACACACATATATATATATAATTTTTTTTTCTTTTTAAAAATCCCCTTTCTTGTTCTCTTGGGAGGAAAGAGAAGGGGGAAAAAAGTCTCTCCTCAAAATTTTCCAAGAACATTTTTGGAGGTGGTTCGGCCCCCCTCCTCAGACGGCGGCCCCGAGGGTGGGGGTTTTGGAGGAGGGTGGCCCAGGGGTTTGGGGGGCTGGGGGAGGCGGTGAAGAGGAGGACGCCGCCGCCGAGGAGGAGGAGGAGGAGGAGGAGGAGGAGGAGGTGGTAGCGGTGGGGGAGGCGGGCGGGCGGTGGGTGGGGGGGTGGTGGGGGGGCCAGAGCCACAGGATGGCTTCCCCTCTGAGGGACGAGGAGGAGGAGGAGGAGGAGATGGTGGTGTCGGAGGAGGAAGAAGAGGAGGAAGAAGAGGGAGACGAAGAGGAGGAGGAGGTGGAGGCGGCCGACGAGGACGATGAGGAGGACGACGACGAGGGAGTACTCGGGCGCGGGCCGGGCCACGACCGGGGCCGCGACCGCCACAGCCCCCCCGGCTGCCACCTCTTCCCGCCGCCGCCGCCGCCGCCCCCGCTGCCCCCGCCGCCGCCGCCCCCGCCGCCAGGTAAGCGGCTGCCCCGACTCCCCCCCCCCCAGCCCGAGTGGGAGCCGCGGGCGCGCGAAGCCGGGCGGGGGGCCGGGCACCCACCGCGCGGCCGAGCCGAGGAGAATCCGGGGCGCGGACCACCGTCTAGGGCCGGCGCCCTGCAGCGGTCCTGGCGGTCCCGGCGGTCCGGGCGGCGGCGGCCGCGGGGCCGGGCCTCCTCCCCTCCCCCGCCGCACCCCTCCCCCGCCGCCGCCGCTGCCGCTGCCGCCGCCGCTGCTGCCGCCCGGGCTGGAGAGCGCTGGGCGCGAGCTGCGCGCGCGGACCGGGCCACTCGGTCGCGGCTTTCGGGGGAGGAGGAGGAGGAGATTTTTTTTTTTACCCTCGGCTGGGAGGGGGTAGGCAGGAAACGGCCGAGGCGAAGCCAGGGCCCCCTCCCTGGCCGAGCGAGGGACCGCGGAGACCCTGGCGGCCGGACGGCGGCGTGGGGGAGGGGCGCGTGGGGGAGGGGCGGCCGAACGAGCGCCCCTCAGGCTGCGACCCCGGTGGGGTTGCACCGAGGCAGGGTGAGGTTTCTATGTGTGGTGTGGAGCAAACCCCCACCCCACTCCACTCGGCACTTGGGCCGGCAGAAAGATGACAGTGTCCATAGGACCCCTTTCCACCAGCGGGGACTTCGGTGCCCTCCAGCTCTGGGGCGTGTGGTGGCACGCGGGGAAGGGGTCGCGTACATGTGGGCGGCTGATGACTAGAGGCAGGTAGCGGCAACACTTCACTCAGACCACTTCCTGGAGTTAGACTTGAGCTACCCCCCACTTCCCCAGCTGGGGGATCGTGAGAGTCAGTTAAGATTGGGGGACGAGAGGAAAGTGGGGAGCCAGATGTCCCCGGCCCCACCCCCTTTATCTCTCTTCTGCTTCGGGCTCTTTTGTGTCAAGTGCGGCCCCCTCTCCCCGTCAGGACCCTGTCAGTCTGGGCTGGCCGAACTGCCCAGCTGTGACTCTCACGTGGCTGCCATTCACTGTCACTCACTCTTTGGCCGAAACCACCCACACCCTGACCATGCTGGGGGGGCGTAACCTGCCCATCCAGCTGGTCTGCAGCTTGACCATCACTCAGCACCCCTCTCCCTGAATGACAAGTCACCCGGCGCTCTGGGCGGCACTCTCCGGGAGTGATGGAGATAGACTGCTGCCTGGCATCAGGAGCCCAGCAGTGGCTGCCTTCAGACCACCCTCCTCGTGGAGGGATTTTGGGGCTTCCTTGGGATAGGTGAGCCTTATGGTGTCTGCACCCGCTGCTTGGGGACTGCAGAGCAGTACAGATGCTCCAGACTTCAAAACGTCTACCATCATGCTCTTTGTAAAACTGTCATATTGATCCGTGTGGCTTATGTGGCACATGTTCTTATCTAGTTGAGGCAACCTTTGAGGAGACAGTGAGGGAGTGCTTTCTTGTGTGGGTGGGTGGGGGTGTGTGTTTAATGGAGACTGGTTCAAGTCTCCCTGTGCCCCCAGGCTTGTCTATATTATAAAGGGAAAAGTTTTAAAAAAGTTATCCCAGAGAGCCAGCCTGCAGAATTCACAGGAGAAAAAAAGAAATAAAAGAGTCGTGGGGAAAGGGTTGCCTGTAGGGTTGCCTACAGCAAGGTGCCGAAAGAGGGAAAGAAAGGATGTCAGGTGAGTTAGGAGAATAGCAGCCCTCACCTATTTTGTATTCTGAACTTGGAATCTGGTATTTGGGTGTTTTTGATCCTGGATCTGGGTTTGAGAGAGAGGGGCGCATGAAAGAATCTAAGGTTGAGATGGGTCTTTGTGTCCTACTCCCTCCCCTTTTCCCTCTTTGCTTTCTGAATCGTGAAGAAACGTCAGACGCTTTTAAAGTATTACATCTAAAGTGAAATTCCACCTCTCCTCTCTCCCTGGGCAATGCTATCTCCCTTTCAGCCCTCCGAGTCAAATGAGTGACCCAGATACACCCCCTCAGATGACTTTCTGAGGTAAAACTTTGGGAAAATATTTTTAGCCTGCTCATTATCTCTGTCTACCTAAGTGTGGGGAGAATAAGCCTCCTCAGAGGAGATCTGCTCAGGCTGCCCTCCCTCATCCTTTTCTGGAACATGAATTTGTACATCTGAGAGCTTTCCATTGTTTTTCATTCCGACTGCTTTGATTCTCACCATTTTGTTTTACATTCTTACTCAAGACCAATTTTATCCCTTCCCCCTCGCTCCAGTCTCCTTACATTGTTAAACGTTTAAAATAATAGCACTCGTGTTGGTGGGGGAAGGGAGCAGGAAGCCAAAAAAACTCATTTCTTCTCCCTCCCCCTTCTGGCAAGTCTAGAGAAATAATATAACATAATATATAGATGTGATTCCTTGAGGTGGGGGTGGGGAATGATTGTGGGTGGTGCGGAAAATTCTGGTAGTTTCTTTGCAAAAGGTCTGAAAATACAAACCCACCCCCTGCGTGCAGTACGCATGTGCAGCAGACCTATTATGGAGGTTCGTTGTGGGGGAGGGAGGGGAATTTGAGAAAAAATAAATATATGTGTGAGAGATTGATGGTGAGATTAGGAGAGAGGGGCGGGTGGGAGGCGAGGCTTTCGCGCAGGCTCCTCCCCCGGGCTTGAGCAGCCAGGCTCCACCCTCCCTCCCCGCCTTCCCGAGATCTGAGCTGGGATGTGGGAGAGTCTGGGCTCCAGGCCAGCATTGAGTGGCTGCTGAGACAGAGGTTAGGACTTAGATTTGCTTTATTACCCTCCCTTGCCTCCCCTCGCCCGTTCTCCTTTGCCTTCCCCGCCGCGTACGTCCTTCCAAGTTCGGGAACCTCCTGCTGCGCGGGCGGGGGGGGGGGCGGGTAGTGGAGTTCACAGGCTGTGCGGGGCCCCCACCCCCAGCTGGGAGTGACCCAGGCCACTTTCCTGATCCTTCGCCAGTTGGCCTGCCCTTGCCACTGCCCCGGCAGCCTCCGTTTCCATGTTCGTGTTAACCCAAATCCCTGGGGTTCAGGGGAGCCTGGCGTCCTCCTGACTTCCTACTACAGTTCCCCCACCACCTCGGTTTTCACACCCTGGTCCTAGGCAGGCAGCCCCCTTTCACATCCACAGCCAGTGCTAGAGTGTCCTCCTGGTTCAGCGCAAGAGGACACAGGTTGCCAGAGTTAGGAGAAAAGGTAGTGTGAAAGGAGGGAGGTGCCAGGAATTTGAGGGAATGGAAACCCAGGCCTCTGGTTGTTAATTGTGGCTAATTTTCCTTGCTGTTGAGGGAAAGAGGATTGTGTGTCCTAGAGCAAGGTCTGGGCCAAACCCAGGCTTTCCCCTCCTGCAGCAGCTGCCTCTGCCTGGACAAGACAGGTCTGGCTGGTTAGTCTAGTGCTTAGGTGCCAGAGGCTAACAGGGGCCCAGTCTGTGTGGCATCAGTCTGTATGGCACATCGTCTTCCTGTTTAGGAGCAACACTGGCTCCCAAGCCTCAGCATACTGGCAGGGGTCACAGAGTATGGGGTGGAGGAGGCATCAGGGAAGAACCTGCCCAGGGCCACTTGACAGAGGCTTCTGGTGAGAGAGTCAGGGATCCTGCCCTGCAGAAGCAGGTACAGGCTGACTCCTGGATTTGTGCCCGTGAGTGTGTGTACATTGGAGAACACAAATGCTGGGCATCTCTGAGTACCTATATCTTTGTTTCATTTGGACTCCTAGGTTGTCTGTATAGTGATGGATCAGGATGTCTGGAACAAAGAATAAAGGGGAAGAATAAAATCAGGGGATAAAGGGTGCAGTCCCTGGGTTCTCAAAGGGAGCAAGAATATGGGAATAGATTTGGAAGCAGATTTCAAGCTAGTAGGGAGGAGAGGTATATCATTAAGGGAATTCTGGAGATTTCCTCCTCTCTGGTTAGAATGCAGGCAGACACTATGATCCTGTGGGTAAGAAATGAAAATGACTGGCTGAGGATTTCTTTTCCTCTAGGACTATGTTGGGGTGACAAGATGCCGGTGATTATCTGAGGAAATGTAAATAGAGGCCTCCCTCTTGGCAAAAAGCATGTCAGCCCCCAGGGTGTTAGTGTGAGAACCCAGGTGTCCACCTTTGGCTCTCCCTTCTCAGCATCTGGCTTAGGGAGCTGCCAGCTTGTGTCTCCCCACTCCAAGTGCTGGGGTCAGGCCAGGCCAGCAGCTGGGCATGGCTTCCCCCAGTTCCTGGGCAGGATGCCAGCTGGCGAAGAGAGGGGAAGGCAGGAGGAGTCCTGGCGGTGACTGAAAGGACCTGACACAGTCAGAGCCCGTGGCCTGGAGCCTGGTCCCTTGTTAGTAGGAGGGGAGAGATGGGAGTGGTTTGGCGTTCTTCCTTTCTGACCCCTGACCTCCCATTCAGAACCAGAGCATCCCAGAGTACTCAACACACTCTGTTTGCATCCAGTGAAAGGCAGCAAGGTTTGGAGGAGTTAATGCCCAGTTCCTAGAGAGTGGGACTGAGGCAGTAGGGAAGGCGGTGTGGAAGGGCCTTAGAGATTAGGAACCTAGAGGCTTATGTTTTCTGATGTTCTCTGCTCCAAAGATAAGGATGACATTCGGCTGCTGCCTTCAGCATTGGGTGTGAAGAAGAGAAAGCGAGGACCCAAGAAACAGAAGGAAAACAAGCCAGGCAAACCCCGCAAACGCAAGAAACTTGTAAGTGACAGGGATTCCTAATTTTGTGGCAAGCCTCAGGGACCTTTCCCAGAAAATCACATTTTCTTTTTTCCTGATTATCCAGGTAAAGAGGTGTCCTGAAGTCAAGGAGGCTTGACCCCCTCACACTCCCCCACACCCCATTACTTTATATCTCTTGGATCTAGGACCCTACCTCACTCTCTACAACCTGGTGAAGAGCCCGGTCATTGTTGATGTGACTTGCCCTAACATCCAACAGAAGCAGTCTTGGAGGAAAACTGTATGAGTTCAGACCCCTCTGTCTTCCTGGGCAATTTATTTAGCTCTCCGTGCCTCAGTTTCTTCATCTGTAAACTGGATAAACAAATCAGTTATTATACAATTGTTGTGAAGATGGAAATAAAATGTAATGTGCTAAGAACAGTTTTTGGCACATTGTAAGGATGAATAAATGTTATTTTTATTTCTCTCTCTTTAGGACAGTGAGGAAGAATTTGGCTCAGAGCGAGATGAGTACCGGGAGAAGTCAGAGAGTGGGGGTAGTGAATATGGAACTGGACCAGGTCGGAA